TTGGCGACAGTTCTTCAGGAGTGCCACGCTGACCGGGACAGCTTGTTCAATCTTGCACCCCAGAGAGGCCCCCTACCTACGACCAGACGCCGTGGTACTGGAACCGGCACCCGGCGGACAACGGAGGATGGAGGCTCGAGCGTTGACCCGAATCAGGGCCCCGCTGCTTCATTGTGGCGTGCTGCTGCCGGTGCAACTGATGTTCTACCTGGCACGGACTTTGGTGGATGAGCCGGCCGCCGCCAGCCTTCTACAACTCGTGCGCATCTCTCCAGTTTGTCAGAATGGCCATCGATTCATGGAGATTCGCGTTAAAGTGGAAGCATTGCTGCGCGAATGCTGGAGGGCTTCCAGCGTGGACGCCTGCCTGCCAGACGGGGGGAGTTCGACCCACAGATGTTCTCGTACCCGGACGTCTGTAAGGGTCCTTTCGGCTTTTGAAATCCCCTTGGGGCTGCAAGCCGCCCACACTCCCCATCCAATCCGCTGGCCTTTTGCATGCGGCCCTGATGCGCCTCCGGGCGGCTGCTACCACCCCAGGCTGGGATCTCAGTGCAGTCGTGGTGTTTGGCTGAGGGGGCCCCAGAAAAAGGACTTTTACTTCCCGGTGCGCTTGTGGCGTTACGCCCATCTTGAAGCGTGGGACATCAAAGCCAAGGTTCTCATTCATCACCTCGTGGCCCAGGAGTCGGGTGATAAGACAATGCCTGATGGGAGCCGTGCGTGGTGTCGCCTAGGCGACCCCTGGGACCAAGAACACTGGAAAGCTGAAGCTGACGCCTTCTTGGCGCAGGGTGGACTCGGCCCTGGCATTCAAATCCCTTTCATATCCTCGGAACTCATGCCGCATCTCCATGAGCCCGATTTGGATATGCACAGGTACAGCTTCCACCGTTTGCGTGAGATGTATGCGCAGCGCAATTTCCAAATGTTGTACCTTCTGCACGAGTCCCAATTTCCGCTTGGCGGCAACGACATGCAGCGCCTGCTGGATGCTCGGCTTGGCCGCCGCAGTCGACACTAGACCGCGCCCAGTAACAAGAGGCGTCTGCCCACATGCCAGCGCATTGCGACCGCCGACATACGTCGTTGGGTCAATTGCTTCGCCACAGGCTATAGGTCTGGATTTGTGGACTTCGTGTGCACGATCGTGACACAACAGGACGCCGGGGCTGACCGTTGTTCGACGGAACTAGAACGGCGGCCGGAGCTTTGACTTTGGGCTCCACCGGTAGTCTTGGACAGCTTTGGGCGACGGCCTTCTGCTGTTGTGGATCGGTCGCTGAGGCCCCGTAGCTCGTGCTGAACGGCCAACACCGGCAAAGCCTGTGCGCCGCAGCTAGCTTTTTTGCCTTACTTCTAGGGCCGCCTGTTTCACCACTGTTTTTTGGATTTGGTTTGTTGGTTTGTCTCGTTTGTAGGGACCGAGTGCTACAGCCGTAGTCGACGAGGCCCGCTCACGCCAAAAAAAATGACCGGGACAGCTTGCCAACACAAGGCAACACCCCGCTCACCGCCCCGAGATGAACTGCAAAGAGCATACGTCCTCTTTTTTTGGGAAAGGTTTTCTGCAACCAAAAGAAGCCGGTCCCTGGAGCCGGCTTCTTGAAAGCCTTTCTGTGGATGGTGGAGAGTGACCTTGAAGCGGCCGAAGCCCTAAAGGTTCACCGACGTCTCGGCTTCTTTTTGTCGAGAGCCCAGCCAAGCTTCTCGTTAAGGGAACCTCCTTGCTGATCACACTGGTAGTGTAGAGAGCTTGCGCTGCGCAGAAGTTCGCAGCCGACAGTTGGATGCTGGGCTCTGCGAAAACATGCGTCCGTTCATTGTGTCATCTCAGGTCCTTCTGCGGCTCAAAAGAAAGCTGCTGCTGCCAGCAGTGCCCCACAGGATGGTTCGCGCTGCACCCTGCGTAGAGATCATACGGATCTTTCCCTCACTTTGCTGAGTCTTGTTCAACAGCTCCTGCTGACTAAGTCCGCACACTGCAGCTGAAAGAGCCATGTTCGAATTTGTTTGTTTTCACCGCTGTCTTGTGTTTTGCTCGTGTTTAACCGTAGTTCATTGGGACTCAGTACTCCTGTTGTAGCTACCGACGCCAAAAAAAAGGCGAATCGAGCAATTGCATTTCCGGAAGTCGAAAAACTTGAGTCTTTTCGACCTCACTCGGCAGGAAAAGGGAGGTGGAAAACAGATGCAGGTGGACAACCAAGATGAATCAAGCGCAGTCGGAAGAGGAAGCTCGTGCAGACTTGGCCGGATGTCGTTCAGCCAAGGTGACGAGAACAGCAGCCGAAGCAGTTTCCTGGAATCGAGAACGACTTGTGAACTGACAACACTTCCATTACGCCCTCAACAAAGCTGCAGTCGCCATTTGGCTGACTGTGGTTGACGGTGACAGGATTTCGTGTGGCTTTTTCTTTTGTTCGTAAAAGCGATTCCACAAAGCATTTCGTGTGGCTTCTTAGTTTTTGTTTTCGTTAAAACGTTTTGAGCACGGTTGATTCGAAGCCTCGCAAGGAAGCTTCAATAGTTTTACAAAGCTTGGGGAAGGGAGACCTCTCTTCCAAGCTCCCCTTGAAGTTTTCTGAAGTTCCCTTGAAGCCCTTAAGAATCTTCCTCCGAAGCCCTTCTTGAGAATTCCCTTCTCAAGGCCCGAATCACGTCCGCTTCAACTCTTGATGGTCAACCAAGTGATCCAAGCGAAGGCCATTGTTGTGACTGCGCGGTTCGAAAAATCGATATCAATGGCACCGAGCAGCAAAACATCTATTTTATCAGCTTTTCTGCGCGCTACGGGCATTTATTGGATAAAGAGGAGTTTGGCTTTTGGTTTTCGCGGAGCCGGGTTCCAAGATGGTCGTCATCCAACCACTCGATGCATGATGTCTTCAACAACGGCCTGGACCTTAGCAGTGCCCTTTCAGATGCGTCACTGGTGCTCTCGTGGTGTCTTGCGGTGTTGTCACTTTGCCAGTCGCTCCCACACATGGTTGAGCTGCCTTTTTTTTGCAAAGCACCTGTGAAAGGAGCTGGTGCGAATTGACTCTGCCGATTGCACTTGCCTGGGACGTCCCAGTTCCACTGCGGTGACCGGAATGGACACTTAATTGTGCAGCGTCTTGTCCTACTTGGGCGTCTACGGACTTTAGTCTGTGTCTCTAAGTGAAGGAAATTAAAGATTAGTCCCTTCAGTCATCCCGTGAATCGCCAGTTGGACTTTGCTTTGTCGAAAAGGCAGTGCCGAAGCAGACTCAATGGGTGGGCACACAAGTGTCTTAAAGGAACCCATTGCGCCAAAAACACTGCCAGACACGTGCAATCCAACACGTGGTCTAACAAGAGGCGAGCACAACAGCGTTAACGAGGTTCCCAAACAGGCATCTGAAATGGCACAAACATCTAAAACGCAAAGGCTCCGAAGCTGAGTTTCCAAAATTTTCAATCGCATTTATTGCACACGTCGGATGGTGGTTGCTTGAAAAAGAGTGGCCATGGCAGCAAGAGAGCGTAAAGCCAGAGAAGTTCCAAATGATTGGACTGCAGTGGATGCGTTCTGCCGCCACATTGACTTATCCTCGCCGTGGAGTAGATGTCCAGAACCATGTCGCATTAGCGAAGCCGAACCAGTCGAACACGAGCCAGATTGCAGACCTGCCCTGGGTTCCTGCGCTTTTATCCTCTTCAGCAAAGTATTGAGTGTTTCCGATCTATGGGTTTTCTGGATCTTTCCAACGTGAAATTGGCATGATTTTCTATTATGCAAAGGGGTGTTCTGGTAATTTCCGAAGCATTTCGGAAGATCTTCACAATTTATCATTTTGATTTAATTACATATTTCCACAACAAAGAACAAACAGATGGACAAGAAGCACTTTGTGTACTTTTTGTGGACATGTTTCAAAACCACGAATGTTGCACCGGACCTTCTGGTTTGTTTTGATGTCATTTTGCAACAGTTTTTGCGTTCATCATTCAATCCCTTCAAGCGGACGGATCAAGACAACCAAGTTCATTGCTTCAAGTTCTGGACCACCCAACTTTGCTTTGGTGAATGTTTGAGCCTAGCTTTGAAAACATGTGACAATAACGATTCGCAGCATTAACATGCAGGCCCAAATCCGAGTGGTTACATGTTTATAGTTCTATGTATATTGGTGCGAACTGAATGAGATATCTTGGTGTGTTCTTAAGCTGGATCGTTCTGAAATTACATGTCAGGTTCCACGGCACAAACGACGTTGTTTCAATCTTTGAGATATGATTTTTAGTAAGTGTGTCCCATATCGGTACAGATTTGTCAACGTGGCAGTGCACTACGGGTCCTCTCCGTTGCGAGTCATGAGACTAGCTCCACATGTGCCTCCAGCCTCCAGCAGGCAGGCAGACTGTGATTGCGACGGCAACCCGCTGCGAAGCGGCTTTCGTTTAGCTTTTATGTGGTTCGAGTTGCACGCTGCCAAGAAACCAAAAGATGTTTTGATATCGTTGTTTTGGTGGATGAGCGAAGACAGATGTTAGAATAATCCAAAACCTGCCATCTGCAATTACAGAGTGTGGCGCTGTTGGTCGACGTAACTAACACGCAGTCAATCGTGTTCGAGACATTTCGAGCAAGAAAGTGTACGCTCACAAGCACTACACCTACGCTTTCGCATGCCCGAACTTGCAATGGTTTGGAATGCATGGCAGTACTTTCTCATCCAAAGCCGACGTGTCAGCACCAAGAGGTCGACACTTGACATGCATAACGAAGGTACGTAACATTGAGCCATTTTCGATCGGTGCAAACCAGCGGTCATGACGCCCATTAAGTTCCAACAAACTCAACAAACATCCCTTAGCGTAGCTGCACCGACGCATCACGAGTATTCAAGCCACCAGTTAGCACATGACTTGTTTTCGTTATGTCGCAATCGACAGTGGGATGGTCATAGACATCTTGCGGATTAGGCAAGCGGCACAGACGCAGCACCGAACCAGACCCGCCGTCGCATTTGGCTATGCCGAAGCAGACGCGTGCCAAGGTTCGCACATGCTGGGTGCGAGTTGCTGTGAGAATGCATGAATGTGGACAATCAAGCATGTGACAAATGTCGTTGTTGTGTTTGCGATGAGGTGTCAAGGAGCATGAGACACAACCCATTAGCCCACGACATTTTGGAGGACGGACAGGGCAGCGTGGTTTGATGGTTAGTGATGCGGCATGCGTTGTGTGTCACGCAGGAGGAAGCCAACAGAGGCATTCGAACGGTCCCGTCAGATTCTGTGATTTTGCACAACAGCTTTGCAGTCAGGGATCTTGGGTTGTTTAAGGCGGAACAAGTTGCGCCGTGCGGATGATGATGAGGAGTGTTGTTGCAGCCGTGGCAACTGCGAACAAAAATTTTAGATTCATGTCTGTTGGCGGAATGCTCGGAGGATTCGAATGCGGTGGTTCCATCCAGTGTTGCCAAGAAGGTGATAGGGATGGCAGCGTTCTTACACCGTCTCAAAATTGGATCCAGAATCGTGCTGATGTGCATGCCAAGAATCTGTTTGAGGTCCAAGCCCAGAAAGCAGACGAGGAAGATCGCCCAGATGATTTTCCGGAAGATGTGGACAGACATGGAAATGAGCAGATGGACATGGAGGCCATGATCGTTTTTCGAATCTTCGAGAGAGATATGCAGAGTCCAGGAAGCTGTCGAGGAGATTGATGTCGAAGTGGACGAGGTGGATCTTATGTGCTGTCGTTGACGACAGCGCCCATTTTTGCATTTTCAGGATGGCTACATTGTGGGTCCCAATGCATCAGACGAAGATGAAAGAGCTCGATGACTCAAGTTCACAGTTTATGATCTTTCTTGCAGTCAGCCTTTGTGCCAAGGCCATGGCTTTGTTTCTTCCAGGGAAGACTTCTGCCCAGGCCGGATTTTGTCAATGTTGCAGTGAAGCTTTTGCAGCTACTGTGTCAGGCGGGCCCCACGCTTGCAGACATCATCCTGCAGAAGATCCAGGCTCGGTAAATGTTGCGAGTGTCAGCGATGTTGTTGGACTTTGGATTTCGCCGAGGAGTCTGAAGCCCGCAAAGAAGCAACTGATGGCGATGGTGCCTCGTCACACCAAAAATCTAGTGCAATCGTAGAGCATGAGCAAGTTTGCCATATTGCTTCTACGTAGAACGATGTAGCACTCATGCTAACAAGTTGTGCACGGTTTGCTCCATGACCTAAGATTTCAGCTGGGCTCACCTTTGAACTTGGCAGCATGTGTCATGGGGTTGAGGTGTCGCAAGCGAAGCCGGCTTATCGCCCAAGGTCGTCCAAGCTCCATGGCAGAGAGAAGTAAGCAGCACGCGTTTGTACATGTTTGTGGCGTGAGTCATTGTGATTAATCTGAATAATTTGAGAGGTTTACGGAGAAATCGGGAAGTGGTTGAAGTTCTACAAATCGGGGGCCATCCCCAAAGCCTTCAAGGCAGAGAAAGCTCAGACAAGGGTGTGTGGAAGGAACGTGTGTGCTAGTTACGATGGCAGGTGATTCCCAACTTGACAAATTGGGAGGAGGCGCCGTGCCGATTTTCAAATGTGTTTCCGCGAGTCGTAATGGCTTGCAACATCAAGATGAGTTGACTCAGGTTCTCGCGTTGACCTCTCCGCTAACATGGAGTCCAGCTGCCATGTATCAGGCGTACCATTGTGCCAATTGCGACTAAGCCGGAAGTTTGCAAGTGCGGCACAGCAACACTGATCACCCCGCAGCCTGACTTGGCTTGGCTTACTTGCATCGATAGACTTCGTGCGCTTGCTGTTGCGCGCTGGGCACCGAGCAGATCTTGCCGAATTGCAGCCATGCGGACGATCACTGACGAGATCATGGAGAAGGTTTCGAACTGTTCGGTGATATCGGAAATGATGATCCTGATAAAGATGCAGGAGGAGAAATGGAATCTTAAGTTCTTTCTCCAGAATCGACCAGACCTCGCCGAGAAGTTGCAGAAAGGACAGACTTTGCGTTTTCGAACTGCCCCCTGCATGTCCTGAAATCACCCAAGCTTTGCGTTTTGGTTAAGGAGCTTCCGGCTCCACATCGATGCAGGCCATGGCCATTATCCCGACGCATCTTGAATTTCTGTCGGACAACTCACCTGCAGGCTTCGCGGTCTCTTCCGCAGCTGCCGAAAATGCAGATCATCGGCGGTAAACCTGTGACGTGGCCGGATTGGGGCATTCTGCCACGAGAAGTGTACGCAGGGTCCCGCAAGGGGGGTCCTGACCTATCCTGTGCTCCGTAGCCAGGTGCCATCTATCTTGAACAGACAGATCTCCCACCGTCGACACGACTGGGGCAGGCCCTCTTTCCTGTCGTCTTGATCCAGCCTGCACGCTGCCCCCGGACCGTGCTCTGCGCTCAGGCTCTATTCAGATGCACCTGGATGGAAGCAGTGAAGTAGCTTTGCTCCCGAGCACTTCTACACAGAAACCAGGAGAACGGACAGGTTGGTAGCTGTGGTGTTGAAGAGCAGGTTTCATGTTTGTTTGGCCTTTCTCATGTTTCTGTGTGCTGGAGTCCGAGACTTGCAACGAGGCCGTGAAAGCCGGGTGCAGTTTCAGGTTTTACTGGCGAACGTGCGATGAGCCCGAAGGGCCAGCATCACTTCACGACATTCCAAAGCAAAGAAGCTTCGAGTAGGTCTACATCTTGCTTGCACTGGTTGGAATCGCGTCGTCAGCAAGCAGAACTACAGCAAAGGGTAGCAACCTTTCGCTTCTCTCGCAGGCCTCTGTGATCTTTGTGTCCAACTTGAACCCGCGCCTCTTGACTTTAACTGTTACATGGCCAGCAGCCGTGGGCCTTCGTGTGTAATTGTTGAGGAATGGCCCAGCGCTTCTTCAACTTGGTGCGGCACCAATACGGAGCAACAACTACATGAGCATGATGATGGTGGTGGTGCCAGGTCCTTCTGCCAGCAGTGCGACAGGACATCGCAGAGCCTTCAGCTCAGTTCCTATTGTCAAGAGCAGGAGTTGTGGAATTGTGACCGACAAGTCACTAGGCACAAGAAGCTCAACTTCCACTACTACAGGCAGCACTCATATGGATGGACCAGCTTGGCAAATAGGTTTTTGGTGCAGCGGTGCCTGCTAGGGCTCTTCGGAAATCCCTGTTCAAGCCGGCGGCTTTCTTCAAGGCGATCTCGGCAATTGTCACGAATGAAGCGATGAAGTCGGTAGCAAGCTGCTTCCTTGCGAGCGGCACCATTTCCGTGTGCCGGAGGGCACCGTCTCTCACTCACTGACTCACTAGCTCATTAACTCACTCGCAACACATTGTGTGGCAGGTTTCTTCGAATGTGCCTGTGTTTCTCGCAGTTCGCCGTTTGCACACAGCTCGCAGGGAATCCTGCTGCCCATGGCTGCAGAGAGCTGCACCTTGCGGGAGGACGCAAACAGTGTCCTACCTTCTTCGAGTGGCCTTCGTTGAAGGCAGACTGACTTCCCTCCTTACAGGCCGTCATCATGGGATCTGTCTTGGCCAAGGCATCTGTACCTGTCATGCACGTAAGGGCCTCAGCAACGGACCCTTGTCGTTTGAAGCGTGTCAGGCTGCGAGAAAGTTTCACATGTAACGCTTTCCTAGGTCGCCGCCAGCATTGTTCGCCTATGTGTGCCTCATCTCTTTCTGATACTTCGGTTTCAGTGGAAGTTCGGGTTTGTGCATGAGATTTCTTGCAACCAGCTGAGACCATGACACCGTGGTATGGGACTACGGCAATCCTGCTGGCTGCACAGCTCAACAAGAAGTACCCGGGCTGACTGGGTTCAAGCCAGTAGACGCTGTGGCGAAGATCTTTCGGTGACTCATTGCTGCCCAAAATCCAGCCAGTGGTGCAAGTATCTAGTTTCTGCGAATTCGCAAGCTCTGCATGTGTTGGCCCAACTTGACTGTGCTGTTGCAGTTATCTGGTGTTTTTCATGTGGGCAAAGTGCTTGGTCGCAGCTCACATCTCAACCCTTAATGCGCAATCTTCTCAATGCTGAGTCCAGGTATGCATTGCCACTCAAGGTGATCGAGTGCTTGGTGGCTCATTTCTGTGCATTCGCTGGCGAAGACAAAATGTTGCCTTTGGCTTCTCGGCAGCGCGTTGAGTTGATTCGGTCCTGTGGCGAGGGTGTCTTCCTGCAGATCAGGTTTGGCATCGGGCGCTGCTCATTTTTGTGCAGACTCTTGGTAGCAGAAGATTGCTGCAGTGCATTTTGCCGTAGGTGTGCTCTGACCTGAGGAGATACAAGTTTGATCTGTCCGCAGATCAGAAAAGACGAATCAAGGAGCCAGAGCATGAATGCCTCCTTCAAAAAGGTTCGAAGCGTCACGGTGGCGCTTGGATGGTGTCATGTATGTCTTTGTCCGCATGCTTTTATATGCGTGTCGTGTCGGCTAAGATTCTGGCGGCGTACTGCAATGCCCGAATGATGATGCATTCTAGTGATTGTAGCGGTGTCAGGTGTGGCAGTTGTATCGGTGCATCGCCTGGGCCAGAAAGACATACCTTATGGCCTTATGCTCCATGCTGTCCGTTTGGCTGTAGCCCAAGCCCCAAAGATGCTTTGTCACCCCAAACACAGCCAACAATGCCATTGCTGGCTTGGGAGTGCTGGATCTCTGTGCACTGCCAGATCTTAGAAAAAAGGAGTGCCTCGAGTGTGGTCCATTGCTGGTCTGCTGGTCTTTCTGCTTGCTTTTGCCTGGCGCTCCTGGCTTCTGCTGTTTTTGGGCTTATCTTAACTGCTTTCTTGCTTATCAGTGTTTGTCGATCGCTTCGCACGTATTGCTGCTTGTTTTGGACTTGATTGCCTTCTGCCTTTCGTTTCGCCTCTGCATTCGCTTTTTCGTTTTCGTATTTCCATGTGTCGCCTGGTTCGTCTTGACCTTTGCTTGTCGCTTTCTGGTTTATCCACGTCCTTCTCTACGACAAGCTATCGGATTTTAAAGTCGGAACGTTCTGTTATAGCTAACAGCTTATCGTAGGATTGCATCTTGCGGCACACTGGTGGGAGGCTCCGCTTTGCAGGATTCGTCTGCGGCAACCTATTGAGCCATGCCAATCTCGGGTTGTCACAGAAGCTGTATAGGGAAATCTCGTTTGGCCAGAGTGGCTCTTTGCCGCAAGCCATTCGGGATTCGGGATTCACAATTGGCAAAGTCCTGTTTCGCGGCAAGCTAGTTGAACAAATGTAGGAAGCATATGGGAAGTTGCAACTTGCCAAATTCCGCATAGTAATTTGATGGAACCCTGCAAGTGGTAATTTCGGCAGCTTAGAAGTTATAACTTTCTCTATCTTGACCACGAAACAGGATGTGGCCAGGTGTTCTCCCGTCCGCCTATACTTGCAAAAGCAGTCCTTCAAGCTTTCCCACAAGCTTTTGTGATTAGATGCGATCCTCCGAGTTGACATTCCCAAGAAGCTTGCTGCAAAAGAAGATCCTGTCGAGCTGTCTTTCCCAAATAGCTTCCCACGAAACAGAAGCTGGAGTTTTCCGGCCGAGCCACCCCCTCTCCAACACACAGGCGGGCCACGCCTTAAACAAAGGCCCGCCCACAGCCAACGATTTCAATGTTGGCGAGTTACATTGGCGGTTGTGGTATGTGAGTGCGGTTTTTGAGGAGCTACTGCGAGTCCATTTTCATGAGTCTGCGGCATCCTCAGCAGAACAGTTGCCTGTTGACTTCATCGTAGTCGCTCTGGCGAGACTTCGTATGAGGTTGGCCCAGAGATTCGGAGAGAACTGGCGGCCAAACAGGAGGAAACTCCGATGAAAGAGTCCGTCAGTGTTTCATGAAGCTTGGCAGTCCTGCTTCTGGAACCTCAGATGTAACCCATGTGGTGGCTATGCCTGCGAACGAAGCAGGGCGTGACGCCATCCCTGGGTACGGAAAGGGTAGACAGATGATTGTGTGCATGAGGCAGGACAAACAATCTGGAAATGAATCTCCTGCCCCTCCTCCTGTTGTCGGAAACTGTGTACGGCTCACCATCGAACCCGGCTTTCGGGACACTCCCTACGTGCCTCGTCAGTGTTGTCCCGGTGCACGCTTTCCTGCAGGAGATGGCTTCAGGTGACATGGAGATCGGATGAGCGAGTCCGTTTCCATCTCTGTAAGACTGTCAGGGCGCCGTTAGGGTGCCATTGGGACGCAGTGAAATGCCAAGCATTGCACAGCACTCACCACTGGCAGCATGTTCTGGTTTGGCTTCGGCTGAAAAATTACCGACCTCCAGCCTTCTTTTGAGGACATGTCGCTAGACTACAAGCACACAATGGTTCAGCATCTCATTTATCAGAGGGTCTCGTCTGTGTCGCTTCTTTCCGGTTTCGCGGTGCCGTGGCTTTCTGACGATTTTCGTTTGACCCCGTGGCTCCCTCTTTTCGAATACCTTCATAGTTGCGCCATGTTGCGCCACTGTATGGCAGCCTTGGGGCAATTGATCGTGCTATATCTTGGAGCGAATTGAGAGCCTGACACTTGCTGCTTACAGCTGCAGTTTTTTGGCCTGATAGCTCCAATGGCACGTTGGACAGGGCATGGATGCCGCAGCCCAAGTGTGAATATAAGTGCAGGTTCAGGCAGGTTCCCAGCAAATTGCAATACAAGTAGCTTATGTCAGGACCTTGAACGAGCTATCAGAGTAATCTTTGCGCAGGATCCGCGCCGGCCCTGGCACCTGAGGGCCTGGGTTGTTTTTGCATCGCCATCGCATCCTGTTGCTCAGGTCCATCACTCCTTCGGCATGGGCCCGGACCTCGGACATCGGCCTCGTGTTCCAAACCACGGTTGAAGGTCCGGGAGGAGGCCACCAGATACTGCGAGGGCATCAAGGCTCTTGGCGGCACGTGGCGGCGCATGCACAGAGCACCCATGTGCGATTGAGACACCTTTGGAGGCGCGTCCAGACTGTACCTGCCTTGGTGGCCGTGTGGATTGCAACTTCCGACCGTAAGTTTACTGTCAAGCGCAATGTGGCACCTTCTGCAGCATGACCTTCAGGCCGAAGCGACACGCTCTATTTCTGGATTTGAGCAAGACCTGACTATTCCATTGGTTTTAAGGTTGGATCCTGTGCTGGGAGCGGCTCGTGCAGACCGATGTGTTAGAGGTGACAGTTGTGCTTCCCTCGGTCACGGGAGCTGTGGAGATATCAATCGTGCACAGGTCAAGTTCTGGTGCCTTCAAGCTGAAAGCTTAGACAAGTTGTATGTGAGAGAGGCGCTCCCGGCACACGAAGCAACCTCAGGTAATTCTGCAGGCGCTGTCGTCAAAGCCCAAGGCTTGCTGGGAGATGACATGTTGTGCTGCCTCCGGGTGAATTAGGTCGATCTCGCCAGTGGCCAGAGTAGAACTTCGAGGCAAAGTGCTCCCTGGCAGCAGGCTTCCATAAGTTTCCTTGGGGTTTCTCTTTGCGAGCGGCCAAGGCTTTCTTGGCTGAGGGAGGTGGCCGGCAAGAAACAAGAGGTTTCGGTCACAAAAGCCTGCAGCCACGTGTCGGTCAAATCAGCCCAAGGAGGTCGTGGTCAAGAACAAAGTCGCACTTGTGTATGTGGAAAACTTACACTTAGCGCGTGTTTTTGTTGAGCACATTGGTGCATGCGAGTACTTGTTTCGCACAAGGCAGGTCTCATCAAGTTCGATTATCCGGCGCAGTGGCCGTCCGCTTGGCAGGAGCGAAGTCCGTGACAACAGCGAGTTCAGGAAATTTGCTGTTGAAGTTTCGACGGTTCACAAATGGAAGTTTCTGAAAATTAGGGGTACCTTATTTTGGTCCCTTAAAATAAGGATCCTACTATTTAGGGTACCATATTAGGATGCCCTATTCTCGGAAACTCACAAATGGCTTCACTTCCAGAGTTCCAATCAAGATTAGAAGGGGCCGCTGCGGTGCTAGGCTTTGCTTGTTCAAGCTTCTGTGCAACCCGCGGAAGCGAAGCATCATGGATGTTTCGAGCAAAAAGACAGTCCGTGACAGCGTGAGTAGCATGCATTGGCAAAGTCGGCAGGTGGACATTTCGTGGCAAAGCAACACCTTATTGTGGAGCGTTCATGTTTTTTGTCTGTCTGTTGCATGTTATGATACGTTGTGTAGCCGACCGTGCTAGAATAGACATCTTGGCGTCACAGAGAGATTTTGTGTAGCCTCCTTACTGGTCAATGACGGATCCCAACAAGCACACTTAGTGGGAGAGTCTTGTTTGACTTGAACGAAAGCGACTTTGCTGATGACAGGATTTGATTGGCCTGATGGACTTAGGGCCATGACCTTATTTCAAGATCTGGATTCTATCTAACTTTCAGATTCTTCTGTGGAGGCTTCCGTTGGTAGACTTCTTTTTGCGAGTCAGCCCCCGAGAGCACAGAAGATTCATTGAAGACATTCGCCGTCGCTGTCTCGATATCGCTGAGAGGTGCTTGCCATCTTTGACCAAGAGGTTGTCAACGACGACGTCGCCCGAAGCAACGAGGACGCTTTCACAAGGTCATATTACGGTTCCAGCATTGTTCCGACTGTTTGATTTGCGATGTCGCAGGATCGCCAGCGTGGCCACTGGACCCAGTCCAAGTCGCCTGTTCATCGGCCGGAGACCTCTGTGCTTTGAGGTCATCAGATCAAGCACGCGATGCGTGAGCGTGTCTCGGTAGATATCGGCAGGGACATGCTGTGGGCCTGGCATAGTGCGTGCTCCTAGGCGATGTAGTGTCGCTGGTCGAATGCTGGTACAAGCCGTTCCCTCAGCTTCTTGTTCACATGCAGTACAGCCTGTTGCCTGCTGACCCAGTAATCATTTATTTTCAGCTTGCTGTAAATTCAGCAAGAGGTAGCACACTGGATTCAGTGGTGGCACTGCCTTGATTCGAGACAAGTGGCAAGTTGCCATGATTAGCCATGGTTGCGATAGACCTCACCATCACACCTCAGTCGGATATTCGTCGAAAGGAGAGAAGTCTTTGACCGCATGTCCGGGCTCCGCATGCCACACAGTGGCAGAGTAGTCATCTCTTAAACTTGCGATTCCTCCATGTGTTCTAACTTTTCATCTTGAGCTTCGTTCAGCAAGGTGTGCAGATGGTACAAGATTTTTCTAGTTTCTTTCGTTTTTGCTGAACCTATGGCATACATTGCATACATGTCGAAACAATTGGAACGACAGTGCCCTCAAAGACAACATGTAACAACTTAAGCGATAAGGGACTTGTGCGGATGAACCAGTCGGGAATGGTTGGATCTTGCAGAAACCAGTGGCCTTAGAGCCAATAAGTGTCACGGGTCAGAAAATCTGACGAGATTTAACTAAAGTGTGAACAGTCTCTTGTTTAATAGAGAAAACATCCGAGACTATAGTCTTTGCCGCCTTTGCCACCCGCTCAGAAATTTTGCATTGGTTGTAGTGAACACGCGAAAATACCCTTTTGGCATTGTGGGGTTTGCCATCCAGCGCTCGCTGGAGGGTTTGGAGCTTGCTTTTCTCCTTGAGGTTTGTTTCTGTTCCTTACGGTTGTAGGATCTGTTGCTCAACGTCCCGATGATCCAACATTGAAGCTTAGCAGGCACGAGGGCATGCAGGCTTCAGCTTGATGCGACAACAAGCGAATCCTTGCGCAGCAGATGGCATGTATTGTGCCGTACTAGACTGTGCAACCGCAAACTGTAGTGCGGAAGCAGTGCGAGCAGAACCCACGGCAGCCAGCTCGAGGGGTCGAGCATAAATTTTCTACATGATTCTTCTTTCTGGTGCGTCTGGTTGGTAATTTTGCTATGGACCGAGCCGAGACCACCCAAGAAAAATGACTTCCAATGGGATGACAAAGCACATGCCTAACATCTGCAGCAGTAAGGCGGCTTAGACAGAACGTTTGCCTGCGTCACGTCGAGCATTGGTAAAAGCTTTCTAAAGATTTGTACAGGGCAGAGGGTTGAGATTCCCACGAGGTCATCCACAGTTTTAGATTGTAAACATGAGCAGTGCTTGGGTCACGTATGTCAGTGTTCATTCTGTCTTTCTTTGTTCTCTGCTGCGTGTTTTTAGTGGTGTTTGTTTCCGTGACCTTAACGGTACACAGAAGGCAAATCCTCGCATTGCATCTTAGCAAGGATGCCTTGCTGGAACAGATCATGGCGCTTGTCCCCAACCGCAGAAAGCACTTCTATAGGAGACAAGGCTTCTGCAGGAATGGATAAGATGAGAATCATCTAGGAGATGAACCGTCAGACAAGTTTATCCTGTTTCCTGCAGGATAGCACCCATTATTTCGCATGTCTCTGGAGACAGACGAGACTTCAGTCAGGATCTTGACCACGTTGAAGGGTGCTGCCTGTCGCCCAGCCGTGATAAGATGTTGCCGAGGGTTCTGATCAATGGCAGATATGCAAACAATCGAAGCATGTGCAATTGAGCTCCGAGGCACCACACATGGTGCGGGACTGCTTGAATCACGGCTGCACCATGTGCCGAGAACACCCAGCAAGAGTTCAGCAACCGAGCCGTTGTTGCATTTCAGGAAAGTGACGGCCCTCTACGTGGTGTGGGCTGCCTCCTCGTTCGCTCCAGTGTATTGAGGCATGTTCGCAGAAACAGACGGAAGGACCCTTCCGGGGTGAGATGCAAGATGCCACTAGTGGAATGCTAAGAATGTTTGGGCCATGGGTGAGTCACCGAAATGTTTCGGTTAGCAAAGACTAGTAGGAATTCTCGGGGCGTCCATGTCAAACTCCCGGGGTCAACACAGTTTGACTGCGAGTTGAAGGATCTTCCCCGTCAAGGCGAAGTCTGTGCTTCACACTTCCAGCTTCCTCGTTAAGGTCTTCCAAGTGTAAGCAAGTGTTGTGCATCACGTGGAAGTTGTCCAGAACTCCAGCACCAGTCTCGAGTCTTCAATACATGTGCTGCGACCGCTGAGATTGAAATCCTCACGGTGGCCAACGACAAGTTCTTAAGCCGAAGCTTGAGACAGAAGATTGTGATCCTCTGTTTTGACAGCACAGCCTCTTGCTGACCCAGGTGCAGTTTGCAACCTGATTGCAGAAGCTTCGGATAGTGCCGGTGAGGCATAGAGTTCTTGCGTGTGAGTGATGGATAAGATCTTGAATGTTGGGCGACGATTTCAAGACGTTTTGTGTCCCTGTTCGGTAGGCTTGTGAATGTCTTGCTGCAATCGTCAACAAGAAGATGCCCGCCAGCAAGAAGGCCAGCGAAACCGTGAAGATGTATGTTGTCCGTTGAGCCATAGGTGGACAAAGCGAATGCCAGGCTTGAGAGTCAAGGGAGCGTGCGATGATTCCAACCAGGTCTAATGCCCACCATCTCGAACCTCAAGTCAGATTGGCAAAGTTCGTGTACATGTGGGAATGGTGTTGTCCAGCCGTTTTCATAGGCCCTGCACAAGTGCCCAGTTGCGGCACAGTCGATACCGCCAGAAACTGTAACCAATACTTGGTTCAGGTCATGCGAATGTTCAGTTTCGCGAGAAACTTGACACCAAGCAGCAACCATGAGTGACACCACGACGATGATGGTCGCATGCTAGCGCGTGTGAGCAATTAAACATCGGCATGTTTGTCTTGTCTGGTGCCCAAAGAGGTTTTGGCAGAGAGGAGAGCGCCTCTATGCCGCCACGAACACAACAATCGCAAGTTTGCACTGACGCTGTCACTGAGCCACCCCAAAACATTCCATGGGATGCCCCTCTCCAGGTTTCGTTGACTACTCCTTACCTCTCAAGTTTATGTGTGCAGGTGCAAATGCTCAGCGAGCTACAAATCTTTGCGCGTGCTCTTCTGAGCACCTTCCACCACTAGGCCGCAGCGCGGTGCTGTTACTTCGTGCGCAGCAGGCCTCGAAGCATGTGTCCATCGAGATGGTTCAGACCATCAGCTTGGAAGCCTAAACTCGTAGACTAGACGTCATCTTTTTGAAAGCTCACCCAAAATCTTCCGAGGCTTCTCGTGAAGCAGGCAGACATGATAAACTCTGTCGCAGAGGCTGCGTGCCAGCCCAGCTCTCTGACTTGAGACAGTTTTGGCTGTGAAGGTGACCTTGGAGGCCTACGTTGACCTTCGTGTTCAAAGCGATGCTGACAGCGCGAGGTTGGCCCAGGTGCTTGGGGTCAAAGTGCGGCTTGCTGTCGGCGATCGAAAGAGTGATCGAGGTTGCATGGGAATCCACCAATGCACTGATGCCACTAGTTTTCTGGTTCTTTGCCCACAAGGAGTGCCACGCTCAGCGCGTCTGTGCATCCGCCACCTCCATGGATCTTCCAGCATGTGCATCCAGGCATCAAGTAGCTGTGTGCGTCGAGCCCTTCTTGACGGAGTTCTTTGTGAAGGCCAGGCCGCCTGATTGACTGCCTTGCATGAGGAACACAAGAGCAGCACGGGAGGTTAAAAGTTTCGTTGCAGACGGTCACAAGGGTGACATGGAGATGGCTCCTTGTCACTCTGTTTCACTGGAGCAGGCGGGTGACAATAACAGGATCATTGTTTTGTTCAAGTTCGACTCCCTATGATCCGTCTCTGGTTCAAGATCTCTTCGTCTGGCGCTTTTCTGTGAGTATTGTTTTCTCGCAGGTCAGACCAATCTTGATGCAGACGCTGCAGCCGAGCTTGCTCGTTCAACAAATTCGTAAAGCTTCGGTCACTTTCCTTCGAACTGTGTTTGCTTGGCAGTCTTGGCATGTGTACACAAGCTGTGAATGCCGAACTTGCTTTTTTACCTTGTGAAGCATGTGAGATTGGTACAGGGATACATGCATCGTGACAGGCTCATCATTCAAAGAACTTCCTACCCACCTTGGTCTGGTGCTAAGCGAGGGTACGAACATGCGCTGAGGCCAGATGTAGCATTCGGCATCCGCTTTGCAGCTGGCATCTGACGACTTGCCGACAGCAGTCCATGCGGGCCTGCCTACTCTGGTGCACTTGTGTTTCAGCCAGGAGACAGCGGAACACCAGCACACAGAAGCAAGTTGTAACCCGTCAACCGTGCTCAACCTCTTCGATTGCCTGCTCGCGATACATAGCCAAACAGGCACAAATCGAGACTTCGTCAACCAGGGAAACTGGGTTCACTGGAGCCAGGAAACCCATAGGAACAGTCATGAGACTTTGCACAAATGGGGCCGCGTCTTCGGTGATGATGTTGTCACCGTTCAAAGGTTGCTGCACGGCCGCGTGTGGCATCGTAGCTTGCCTTGCCGGTGATGTGCGATGCATCGTCGGGTCTCTGTCCTGCTGCAACGAAGGCAACTGCTGCTATCGCTGAGGTTTCAGCACAACGACCCGAACTTTGAGGATGAAGAGTTCAGACTCAGTGCACTTCGGGTTCGTGCTGAAAGGCAGTTCGTATCGACACGCAATGCAGAAGTGAGGCAGCATGTTGCATTCATCGAGTTCCGACGAAGCCTGACAAAGATCTACAAGCTTTGACCTTGAAAGACGCAGCTCTTGTCATTTCGTGCATAGAACGGTAATTCTGAGGCGCATCTTCTTAGTCGATGAGCAGTCCCATTCTCAGAAAGCGGACGGAGCACTTTCCAATTGCTGAGCTGGGCCTGCTTGTACCGGTTTTGGGCCCATGTATACATCTAGTCTACACAGTTCTTCTCGAGGCTTGGCTTCCAGTTCGTGCAAGCATCGGTTGCTCAGCTCACCGCGAATCTTTCGGGCGTGCAGCCCATGGAAGCCGCTTGGCATTGCTTGCACTGTCGCCTTATTGGGGCCTCGGCGCTTGTTTCCATCTTAGGTGGACGCAGTCCTCTACCTCTTCAAGGAAGAACCCGTATGTTGTTTGGAGCGTGTGCAAGCGCCAGCGTGGCTTGCAGGAGGCAGGAGAGACAGTGAGGCAGCTGGAGCAGCACTTGCAGGCCTGTTCTCATCATCGTTTCGGGTGCACAGAACGTGCGACGGGACGGCGGATGGCAAATTAACCTTTCATAACCTTTCCACAACCCCCATATGTGCCCAAAGCCCCGTCGTGCCACGAGCAATTCCACACGTTACCACCCCGAACACAGCCGGCCCTGCAAACGGCACGTTTGCATGATGTGGGGTATCTGTGCAACACGACAACGTCCACATCCGGCACATCCATGAACAGTGATTCCACGCTGTGTGACGACATCCACGGGCGGGTGGGGAGCTGTCGGGCTCCGGGCGCATGGGATGCGTATTCTCGTTTTTCATGGCTACTCGGGCAATGGCTCTTGGCAGCAGCAGAAGGACAGGCGACTGCAGAAGCTCCTCTCCTTCTTCAATGTGCGGTTACATTACATAGACGGACCGGTGCAGCTTCCTCCGTTTGCAGCAGAAGGCATCCATCGGCGTTTGTCCTGGTGGTCAATCAAGAGAGAGGATAGCTGGACAAAGCTGCTGGCATACTTGCATGAGGTCTTCCGGAGGGATGGACCGTTTGATGGAGTAATGGGATACAGCCAGGGCGCCGCTGTTGCTGGCGGTCTGGCTGCGGAGATGCTGCTGGGGCGTTTCCCTGATATGTTCCGATTTGCCATTGTGGTTTGTGGCTATCTGGCCCCGACTCCAGATTTGAAGCAGCTTATCGAGCTGCTCGACCGGCAGGAGCGTCCGCGGGAGTCTCACACAGCCGCTTTGCGCTGGCGGCGATGGAAGAGCATTGACATTCCGGAGCAGAGCTTGTTCCGCCTTCCGACATTGCACATAATGGGAGAAGCTGATAAGGTGACTCCTGTAAGAATGAATCTGGAAATGGCAAGCCTGTTTGCTGATCCTGTTCCTGCCTGAGTTTGTGCCGTGGATGTTCATGCCTGTAAGACCAGCAATCCGCATCAAAGACGCAGTGCTTCATTGTTGCACATGTGAGGCGTTGTGGTGTCCTGCAAGAGTTCACGTTTCTGACGTTCGGGAGCACAGGTCAGCGTGTATCCTGAGACTGAGGTTCTCGTCCGCCATCCTGGTGGCCATCATCTGCCATTTGCGACTGAGCCCATACGGTCCCTCGCAAGAGCCCCGAGCCGCTCTCCTCATCTTTGGAAGCTGGTTCTCTACTCTGAGGTCCTTTTCTTGGTTCCGTTCATGGAAGCTCCGAGCGCATCGCGTGTGCTCAAGGTGCCTCTTGCTGGCAGTGACGATCCGTGCGTGCTTGCTTGAAGCCAGGAGGTGGAGGACGGCCAAGAGCTTTGTCTACAATGTGTGTCTTTCCGGTCAGAAGGAGCTTTGCACAACAAGAGGTGGCATCTGGGCTGCAGATCTGTTGGTAGATGCTTCATGACTCACCGCTCTTTGCGGCAGCTTAGGTATTGCAGTGAATGCTGGGCACTCTGGCAGTCCATGGCTCCCTTGTCAAGCGATGACGAGGCATTGGCATTTGTGGAGAGAAGCCACAGCAAAAAAGGCCCCATTCGATCCGAGGAGCTTGGCCTCGTCAAGGAGCTGAGCAAAGAGATGGAGCAAAGCTTCTACCCTCCAAGAGGTGCCGCGTGGAGCAAGGGCTTCTGCAAATTGCTTAGACAGCATGCTCATGCTGTCCCTCATAAAAATTTTTTAGATCAGCTCAGGCAGTCCAGAAGCTTCTTCTGCTACTGAACTTGCTCCTTCCACTTGCCGGCGATGGGGAAAAAGACGAAGCAACCTTCCCGAATCCTGAACACCTGCGAGGAATGCCTCAACTGAGCGAGCGCAGGCCAAAGGCCCGCTGGCTGGCTGTTTCGTGCAGCTTATCGAATGTGAGGCATTGGCCTGGAGCCCAGCACCCAATCTGGATCGAATACTGTGCCCGCGCATCCTGCCACCTGAGGTCAATGCCGATCACTGGGCAGTTCAGCTTGCTCTGATGGAGGTGTATGTTGCGCACCTGGCATCTCGCTTCACTCCCTGGCAAACTCAAGCGCTCAAGCTCAGGTGAAATATGGCAAGCTGTTTGCACTACACCAGGAGCTGTTCCCAAGGCTTGCCATTTCCGTACTGCTGTGCCGATGCCTTTGGCTGTCTTCGCAGTTGAAAAGCCGCGAGATGCAGTTGTCACAACACAGGTCTTCCGGGATGGTCTGCGAATACTTGTCTAGATGTTGTTCTTCAGATGTGTGCTCCATGTCCGTCCTGTGCAACTAGGCAACTAGGCCGTGTTTTCCGGTATGCTGGGTAGGTATTTCAGCAATGCTGAGATTCGCGAGATCATCGTCGCCCGTCGCTCCTGAAGACAGCTGATTGCAAAATCGGAATTCCGGTTCAGTTGATAGGTTGGTGCAAAACATTTGCCGCCGTCTTCTTGCGCAGTGTTTGCGTTTTCGCTGTGCTGCCCGTGTCGTCGTCAGCTCGCTTGCCTCATGCGGTGAATCCTCGGGCTTTGGCTGTGTCTTGCGTTTGTTGGCAGCTGTTTGTCGCAGCTTTCCTCAAACATGCTCTGGGCCTGGCTGTCTACACTTGCGTCGGGTCAGCTACGGCCCATCGTCATTTTGTGCAGACTGTGAGTGTCCCAGATCGCCAGCACGCTACATCTGCGGCTCTGCACGCCGCCCATCTTCTGATGCAAAGACCGGTCTGCAGGGTGGTTGGGTCGTTGGGGGCTGCCATCGCTGCCATGAGGATCCGCCGAAGTAGGAGCCCCACGGTCGTGTCCACCAGTGCCACGTTGCCGGGACGGTCGAGGCGATGCCTTTTCGTCGGTTGGTCCGCCGCTGTCGTCGTCGTAGCGGGCATTCAGACACCGCCGCCGAGGCATCCCGAGAGCATGACGCGGCGCATTTGCGACGGCGACGTGGAGCCGGAGCCCAATCTTCGGTTCCTTTGGCGGTGGGCATCGAAGACTGCCGATGCGGGTGGACGTACCCCGACGCGGCGAGGCGTTAACTGGACTGCAGGATCATGCCGCGCGCCGTGCAGTGTGGCTTCGTGATCGGGCTGACAAGCGTGGAGATAAACGAGGGAGGGGCCCGCGAGGATTATGTCCTTGAGGCCTTCTCCCGGAGCATCAATGGATCTGCGGAGGCTGCCGCGTACCTCACGTCGACGGACGCCCGAGTCTTTACCAGACCTTGAATGACCTTGAACAAGGACGCGGGACAGACAGCTGACAATGCGATTTCTGATCGCACAGATCCAGGAGATGATCGGGGAGAGCACCTTCCAGGATGGCGCCCTGGGCCACCTGTTTCGGCACAACGCAGATGCTGGCAGATGTTTTGACCAAGAGGGGATGTGATCGCGATCCACTCCTGACTGCCTTTACCGAAGGTGTATGGCAGCTCGAGGACTCTCGGGGTGGCTAAGGAGAAGAAACTCTTTTTTCAGGCCGGGAGGCATTGTAGACCCCGCCCTTGGCAGAGCCGACAACGGGTGTGAAACGTGAGCCGTTGTTGATGGGCGGTGTCACACGTGTGCCTTCGACATTGTTGCGGCTCGAACGATGGGCGCCATTAGGAACGACCAACAAGCCGTCGTCTGTGCGCGTTGCCGTAGTTGTCACCATCATCCTCGTCGCGCGGTGCCCCGCGACGACCTCACCAGAGCGTGGCGCGAGGGTTGGGTCTGTGTGGCCAGGTGTCGAAGAGCTCATGAGAACATTTGTTTGCGGCGCAGAGCTTCCACCACTCGTCGTCGCCGACAGCGTGATTCAGCGTGTTATCCGAACGACTACAACGAGATTTTGGATCAAAGTCGCTTCGAGTGCAGCGTGTGCTTATCCAGTTGTTATCAGTCACAAGCACTACGAAGCGCATGTTCACCGGTTTAGACGCATGCAGGTATGGGCAGAAGGTGCTGCAAGCCCTGCTAAGTCCCCGAGGCCGAGCCGCGTTAGAGCTGCGGCGATGTGAGAATCGCAGTCACCAGGTGTCCGTTCCAACAATCCTCACCTCGTCACTTGGCAGCAGAATGCTGGATAAGCCAGTGAAGCAGCATCGCACCGCTCGCAGGCGGCTCGCGCTTGCTTCATGTTCGGGCGCTTTGCAAAGTTGGCATGCTGCCCCAGAAGAGGCATTCTGCATCCTTTCGTTCAGGAAAAGCATGCTAAGGTCAGAGTCCAGGCCGCAGCCCTTGTGGCACAGATCCACGAAGCCTTGCAGGACAGGGCACCTACGGTGCTTGTGGGTTGTGCGGCAGATCGATGCAGAATTGTGTATGTTGCAGGATCTCCTCATTGTACAGTGCGACGCGAAGCGGAGTTGAAATTTGTCGTTTTTCTTGCAACGGGCAGGCTCAGAGGCTGTCAGGCGAGAATTTTGCTGCAGGTATGTTCCTTCAGCACTCCTTCCTGTACAGGCTGCAACTGCTATAACATGTTGAAGGGAAGGTCAAAAGCCGTCCTGTTGGGATCACTCTACCAACTTACACAAAGGTCTTTGTTGTTTCGTAGTAACCAAGCCAGGCGGAAGTGTCGCTGACAAAAGTCGCTGTCAAGGGTGCGCTTAAGGCGGACGACCAGGCACAACCGAGATCGTGCTGCTGTGTGATAGTTCTGTGAGACTACAGCAGCCGAGTGTGACATTGCAGCAATCGCGAACCAGCGCAGATTGTGCATGGCATGCATGGTAACCGGGTAGCAGACGGGGAAGGCCATGCAGTGCACTCATGACATGTGAACTGCGAAATGGCATTTCCACTTAGGCCTTTGCAGTCATGCGACAAGATGCGATGCGCATCGTGTTTGAGCTTCGAAGACCTTCGTGACAGGCCAACCTCTTCGAGGCGCTGGCATGCCTCGCAGCTGCGAGCAGACCGGAAGAGTTCTTGGCCTCAGAGTGATGGTCCGCGGCATGGACAGTCATCCAAGCATCCGTGCCAAAGCATCCGCGGACCGTCCATTTCGAATTTCCTGACTGCTGCTCCAAATCTCTTGGCTTGCTTGCAACTCTCCTAGGAGGCCGAATTAACTCCCCGCGGGAGGGCTTGCGACTTTGTTTACGGGTTCTTCGTATCAAGCGCGCTGTCTGCAGAGGCGGGAATTCTGTCCTTCGACACAGACAAAACGCACATCGTGGCTATAAAACACCCTAGAAAATGCCTGGGCGCAGTTCTGATCTTTCCGGTCCTCGTCAGTGGTCACCACCTCTGGACTTCCAACACCCCTTTCAGCGATTCTCTGCAGCTAGGGAGTTTTGTGGTCCTCACATCCGGGCATAGATTCGTGGTGCAGTCCTTCCATAAGAGGTGCATTGGTCGGTCGTGAGTTGTACAGCCTCGCTGAACGGCTGAGGCTCCCGGCAAAGCTGGAGATGCTGCTTAAAGGCAAGGCGGCAAGACCCGCGCAGTTCTTTTTGGGGCTTCCTAGCAGCCTGGCCGCACTCTAGGCCCTGCGCAAAACTTGTCGGAGATTGTAACTGATGCGGCGGCATCACGCTCTGGCACAGGCCTCAGCATTCTCAGCCCCTCCTCAGCCCGCAGCGGACATTCTATGCCCTCGACATGAGGAAACGATATAGCTGGCTGCGCCGGTCCGTTGCTTTGCCTTCTGCCTGTGAAGCGCCTGCGGAGATTTTGGGTTTTGTTTGCTCCAGGCTGGGCTGGACGAAGCATTGAGGTGCGGGTCTGTGGGGGCGCGGGCAAGGCGCCAAGGGCCGAGTCTTGTCCCATGGCTCCTGGCTCCGCAGGCCATCGCCACAGTCAGCAAGGCTTTTAACGTTTCGTCCCTGGGACGCACGAAGTCTTCAAAAGAAGATGGGGATCACTTCTCAAAACGTCTCATCGAAGGCATGTAAGCACAGCCACTGTCCGGGGCTTGTTGCAGATCGTGGACGGTGTGGAGCATGCATCCTGATGCGCCAGCTGTGCCAGTAAGGCTTGGGAGCAGGTCTTAATGATTGTAGCCCGCATTCTGGAGAAGTTTGTCAACCAGTTGAACCGTGAGGCGCCGCTGTCTGTCTTGTACATGGCCTTATTGATACCGGATCTGCATGTCGATTAGCAGATTGGGCTTTGGCGAGCTGCCTTGTTCCTTTGCCGAAGGATGGCCCCAGACTCGGCCCCCAGCTGCTGACGGCTCCAATCTGAGCGCTCCCCATTTCCAGAGGTAGAAGTGCTGGGCGATCGTTTCCTGACCGTCCTGGACACCTTGCTCCCTTTCCTGTATGTCACCTGGCATCACAGTTTGAGTGCAGGCTGCGGGGCTAGTGTTACTTCCAGCTGAGACTTTGAAGACATCCCCAGGACCATAACTAGAAGGCTACAGTTCCTGCGCGCTGTGTGCTTCCTTGGCCGGTTCTAGGGCTCTGTGCATTCCTGATGCATACTTGTTGAGGCAGATGATAAAGGAACTGTGTGGCTGCGGCTTCACACCGTTCTGTGAGTTTCCTTTCAAGATCCAATGTCCGAGGCTACGAATGATCAGGCAGCCTGGGCCTTGACGTACCAGAGCAGATTGGTTCAAATCAACTTGCCTTGAGAATAAATTGTTCGAACACAGCTTTTCTTTCGTCGGTCATCTCAGGATTTGACAGAGCTGACGATTTTTGCACATCACCTGGTGTGCCAATATCAGAAGAAGACTCAACCCCATCTTCAAAAATGGCAGGGCTCTCAGTCATGTCATACCAGCTGTCAGCTTTAGTGCAAACTGATTCTTGGGCCATTTTGCTTGTACCTGTATTTGTCTGCTGTACTGCACAAAATGTCAGCAATCAATTCGGCCATAGTCGCAGCCTCCACTCTCGTATTTCGCCTTGACGATGGGTTCAAGCTGACGACGAGGACTCATTTTCTTCTGTATCTACGAACTTGAGTAATTCTTAACTTTGAGCACAGCAACAGCCCGTCCTACCCTTGGAGTGTAGCCGTGATGCACAGACTTAGATTGTTTGCGGCAGGCAGCAGGCATTAACACAGGTTGGAGCTTCACTAGTGACTGCATCGGTGTGCCCATCAAAGCCATGGGCAGACATGGCCCAAGAGGATGAGGCCGAGCATTATGCAGCGTAAAGTTGCACAGAGACGGCCCCGGCCTCCGAAATTCAGGCAGAACAGTGATGGCTTTGAGTGAACAGGCCAAAGCTCAGCGACGTCTTCAGCGGTTTTTGGAGCAAAAATTTGGTTCCACCCTGAAGGCGCACATCATGCTCGCACATTGTCATCTAATGGCTGGTACTTTGCGAGCAGTGGTGTGTCTTTTTGTGTGTGTGTGTGTGTGTGTGTTTGCGTTTCATGTTTCTGTTTGTGGCTGTGTGTGCGCAACTCGGAATGCTCCGCTCCTGACTTTGGTCCATGTTGTCTGAGCTTACTTGTCGCAGAAGATGAAAGGGGGAGCACAGCATCCAAGACCAGATTGTGCTTGAAAAGAATTATCTGCTAAGTGACATGCTCGAGGTGCATTGGCTGGATTTGGTGACCATGGTTCACATTTGGTTGTCTGAAGGCTCCACTTTGAATCGGGATGACAATTGGACAAATTTGGAACCAAAGACTATGTGGCTTCTTGAGCTGGCATCGAAAGAGTATGTTATGCGGCTCGTGCCATTTCCTTTTCCGGTGGAATGTCATCGTTTTCTGAGCTTATCATCACAAGCCAAGGTGTAGCTGCAGCCAGCATGCATGACCGAAGTATACAGAAGTACACTCTGGCTTCTCACGTGGAGTACGATAGTTTAGCAACAGCACAAGCGCAATAGGCAAAAGCATCAGTACACGGACGCCAATGGCGAAATCAGGGGTCTTGCGAAGAGGTTCCTCAACATCAGGTGTTACTTCTGCTGGCAGGTGGTCTCGTGCAAGTCAACCGAATCTGCAAGATCTTGGTCATCAAGGTTTGCTCATCTTGTACAGACTTCCACCATCTCCGAAATATCCAGAAAGTCCAAATTTTGAAAAGTTTCTCCTTGAAAGATAGACGCGAGTTCGGAATGCTGCCTCACTCCTCAAGATTCAGCTTCAGCTAGCAGGGTTTTTTGATGGTCACGACCTGGATCCCCCGCTTGCTGAAGCTTGTGCAAGAGGGCGCTGGGACAAATTGGTGGGGCTTATAGTAAACTCCATAAAGTTGGAAAACGGATTAAGGCCAAATAGTGCTGGGATTCCCTATACATGACTCTTAAGGATTGAGGCTATGAGGTTTCAACTTTTTGGCTTCTACTGTATCTTGCCCTCACCATTGCAGAGGAGCCGACGTGGGCTCTCTTTTGGCTGCCTTCTTGCTGGGTATTTTGGTCACTCTGAGCGGGGTCTGGTATTTCTGGATTTCGCTGAGTGGCGGAAACCCTCCTAGGGCCACTCCCGAGAGACTACCGCTGAGGATCACTGCGGAAGGAAAGCGGAGGCTGTCAGCCTATGCCCACGGAGCTCCGGCTGGAGATAGGTGACGTTGTGATTAGGGTTTCTAGTCAGGGTACTAGTCCCGAACCCCAGCCTGTGCCTGCAGCCCAGCCTTTGCCTTCCAGCTCCTCCACTTCCTCTTTTGAGCTAGTTGTATCTGTCTCCTCGCCTTCCTTCGCGTTACTTTTTGTCGGCCTCCGGGCCAGAGTCGGCTCCGGCCACTGGATTTACGGCCTCGGCTCCTGTCCCCGCCTTGCAATCCGCGGAGCCTCGCAGGTTCCCTTCTTTCCTCGCCTCCGCGCACCCCTTGCTGGGCCCTGAAGCGGGCTCAGAGAGCCTGGCTTGCTGGCTGCTTTGCAAAAGCCATTCTGGAGGGCAGGCTCGACTACCCGAACCGGTCGGAGCCCTTGGCTTTGCAGAACCGTTACTACGGGGTGCTGCGTGCTGCCGGCCTTAGGGAGCCTAGGTCCTGAGGAGTTTTTCGTCCTCCCGGCAGGTTGTCGGCCAGCTGCCCAATCGGGAGTCGGTCTCCCACGCCTTCCCCTCGGAGGCTGAGTGCAGACTCTACTTTGCGGCTGCAGGGGTTCCATTCCCCGTTGCGTGATGGATTTCGCAAGCCTCACTTCGGTGGAGGCAGGGGCAGTCATCTTGCTTGAGCTGCAATGGCCGTGGCCGGAGGTGGAAGGTCAGGCCCCGCAAACTTGTGTTTGTTACGTGGTTATGAAACGCGAGGAAGGATTCATCTTATGCCTCCCCCAGGACTTCCTGCCAGAGGAAGTGGTCAGCCGTCCTCGCTCAGAGCCAGGCTCTTGTGCCATTGGTTGGGCAGCTGCGCAAGGCGGCGACCCCATCCTCGATCAGGCCCCGACTTCTTCGATTTGCGGCGCCATGGGCCGGCAAAAGCTGCAGATGGAGTTGACCAGCCAGCCGGGGGCCTTCGCACGGAAGGTCAGAGAAAACGCGGCGAGGAGGATGAACACCACCGGTCTGGTGGCCCAGGACGATCCGACGATGGTTCGTTACCTGGAGAGGTACGGCGGTTTTTCCAAGCATCGCCTAGCAGGTTTGATAAGCTGGCAACTGGCCCAAGCGATGGACTTGATGAGCCGCGGCTCGCACGACAGCGCCTCCGACAGTTTGGGGCTCCTATTGGTCTTTTGAGACCAGACCGCCCTCGATGGAGGAGATTGTGACCATAGGGATCTCCCGCCTGAAAGAAATGGAGTGCATAAGTGCAAAGAAGAGGGACCGCCCGCCAAAGACTCCGCCGAAGTTGCCCCCCTCGACCGAGGGTCAGGCTGCGGAGGCCGCGCCATCAGAGAAGCAACAGCGAGCAGCCGCTTGGGCTGCAAAGCGGGCAGCCGCCGCGAAGACGTGAGCAATGGGGCCCGGATGCGACATCCCCGCAAGCATGCCTCCCCATCCGATTGTGGACTCGCCTTTGCGGCCGGGTGTGAAATTCACTTTTTCTTTCTGGGCCTCTTCCCTGGTCCGCCTGGTCCTTAAGTCTGGGACTTCTTTTGCTTACTTTCTTTCGAAGACTTTGCCCATCTGCCGGGACCCCTCCATCGGTGTCCCTACCGCCTTGTTCCCTCTGCCGCTTCCCTTTCCAGGGCCCGTGAGCATCGACCAGCCGGCCGCCAGGACCATTGGCTCCACGTGGTGGTCCACACCTCAACTTTCTCCATTCCAATGGAAAGCCAGTGCCGCCTGAGTGCTTATCGAGGCCGCCTGCGGCATCTCAGCTTGCTGTGTTTGACCGGCTCCTGCGGCTTACCAAGGCGTGTTCCCGGCAAGCTGGCACCTGCCTGCAAGCCGGACGGAAGGGGCTTTAACCTCGCGGCCCGCCACTGTGTGTGGTCCTGGGTACGAGGACCCTTCGGGCCCTGATGGCCCTTGCTTCGTCCCCCACCTGAAAGGGGGCCCCGAGGAGCTCACTCCTTATCGTGATCTGGATCCACGGGACCGGTGCGTGGGCTTTGGAAAAGCACCTCACCCCGAACCTCCTGCATGCCTTTCTTGGAGCCAGCCACGCTCACGACTTTTGAGCCCTCGCCTGCGCCAGGCCCTAGCTTTGCTTTTGAGAGCAAGTCTCGAGTGCTTGGCCTCTGCAAAAAGTGGGATAGTTTAGGGTTGCTTGGTTTAGTCCCGGGGCCCCTCCCTGAGACCCGCCTCACAGGCGGAGACACCAAAACAACCGGGAAGCCTGCATCGTTGGAGGACCGTCTGCGCGTCCACCTGCAGGGCATATGCTAGTCCGGCTGACCTGCCCTCCGGGCCTTTCTCTTTACGGGTCCTGTGTTGACCGTAAAGATTTTTATCGCCAGACGACGGTGTCGGGCCCCCGCCTTGCTTCAAACGCGGTGGGGCCGGTCTTTGACCTCCAGGATTTCTACGGCACCCAAGCCTACTCTGAGTTCCTGTCCCAGGTTGACCGCGCAGCCGCTCACCACAGCGGTTCGGGCATCAAGTTCCAGCCTTCCTCCGTTTTGGCCGCCTCCACTTTCAAGGTTCACGGTGCTTTTCGGAGCCTTTTCCAAGGCGACCACGCGCTCTCTAAGGGGTCCCTGGACGGGCCTGATCATAGACGACCTTTTCGCCATCTCCTGCGAGGCCCCTTCTTCTCTGCCTCCGGGCCCCAGTGGCGGCTCCTCCTCTGAAAAGCTCCTGCGGTCCGCGAAACAGGTTTACGCCGCTTGAAGGTGTGCAAGGCTCCGATGCTAAAGACATTTTCTCCGAAAAGACTCTTGTCGTTGCCGGTGCCCAGGTTGACTCCTCCGCGGCATCGCGCTCTGACGGCCTTACTCTCGTTGGCCTGCCGGTCGGGAGACGCCTCGCTTTAGCCTATGCTTCCCTCGTGATCGCTGGCGACCGCCACATCACCGAGGAGCTTCCTTCTATCCTCGCCGGCTGTTGGCTTTCGGCTCTTCTGTTTCGGAGGTGCTTGATGGCAGCCATTGGGCCCCTCTTCCGGCTTGGTAAAAGGTAGCGTGCTTCGGGCCTCGCCTGCTGATGCGCGTGGGGACCTTGTGCTGTTGGCTTGCCGTGCTCCGCTCATCGTTTCGAACGTCAGTGCTGAGTGCAGCCCTGTGATCGGCTGTTCTGATGCCTCCCTCGGCCGTGGGGCTTATTGCTCGGCCTCCGTTGGGGTTGCTGAGCACATGTGGCAAGCGAGTGACCCGTGTGGTTGGTACACCCGCCTCTCTGGACAGGCCTCCAGCCTGCTCCCGCGCCCTTTCTCGCAAGCCCTACGTGCATTCTGCTGG